GACCCTGACTGAGCATTTTGCTGTCCAATGGTTATGCATTAACTTTGCAATTTCTAGTATTGTATTAGTTTTGAATATTTCTCATAGGCATTTAATAATTTTTGACTTTCAGTTAAGTGAAAGAGCATTGTAGTTACTCTCCCAGGATCAGGAAACAGTCCTCCATAAAATGTGTTGCACACATCTGAATATTTGGGTTGAAGTGCTGGAACAGTTGTAAATGCAACTTAATCACTGATTTCTAGCCGTGTCCTCTGTAGTTTCGCTTTCACAACGAAACACACGGCGGGTTAGAGTGAGCGGCGGCCGACGGGCTTGCGGCAACCACATGTGACGACCCCGGGCTGGACTCCGCTTCGTCCACGGTGAAAGCAGATCCGGTGATCCACAGCGCAAAGTTGATGTATTTCCTCAGCGACCAGCACAGATCAGCTCCAGGCATGACGAAGCAGATATCGTCCTCTTTTGGAAGGCCAAACAAAGTAGTTTTGCTTTCACAACGAAGCACACAGCGCCTTCACGACATGGCGGCGGCAACAATACTACAGCGAGAATAAAAGTTACGCCTTCTTTCTTTGCGTGAACATTTGGGCGGCGTTATGCAAATCTTCCCACATAGTGAGGTAGATATGTGGGGGCGTGTTAGAACGAGCCGTTTTAGGTAGGCGTGGCTGACTCTTAACTTTTATAAAGAATATCTCTTTGGATTTGAGACTTTAGTCTTTGCAACTTTACAGATCTTCTTTATGCACCAATAGCTTGTAACACTTCAAAGAGAAAGGAAAAATTTAAATTGCATCATATGACCCCTTTAATATTAATTTAAATTGAGTTTTTATTCGTTTTGAATTTTTTTTTGAATTTCCCTTTTTCTTTTCATTTTAAGTTAACTTTTTTTTTTTCAAGTAGAGTTTTAGTTTACTATGATAACCCTGCTCTGTATAGATTTCCATAATAAGTGCTTTACTATAAATGCAGTTGTAGCTTTTACAAACGGAGTCTAAATATTTTCCTGTGGTAATCCGATTATATTGATAGTTTTGAACCTGCAATATTCCTTTAATGGAAACTCATCTTAGTGGTCAATATTAAGGATCCTCATGTGTTATAGTAATGTTAATAGTGGATTCAGTAGCGATTGATGTAAGATGGTTTAAGGATGTGTGACGGTCTTTGTTCAGGTGGACTGTACTGCTAATACAGAGTAAGCGCTATGGGGTGACTGGATACCCAACACTCAAAATATTTCGGAACGGACAGGAATCCTCATCATATGATGGGCCTCGCTCAGCTGGTATGTTCCTGTATCATTTTTACTGATGTGTGCCATAAATACAATAAGTGATTTGCTGGTGATGTCATTGTGGGCATATCATTTCCAAACAGATGGAATCGTGAACTATATGAAGAAACAGGCCGGGCCTGATTCTGTGCCTCTGCATAGTGAGCATGACCTGGAGAACTTTATCAACAACTTTGATGCCAGCATAGTTGGTAAGTGCTCTAGTCTTTATTATGTATTCTGTAGATTGAAAATATATAATGCAGATGTAATGTTAATGCATAAATGCAGTAAAGATGGATAGATGGATAGAATATAGATAGATAATGCATATATTTTATTACTAATGTCTTGCATTTTCTTTCGTCTGTCCATATCTCAGGATTCTTCTCAGGAACTGACAGTTCTCAACTCTCTGAGTTTCTTAAAGGAGCCAGTTTAATGAGGGAGAGTTTCTGCTTTGCCCACACCACAGACCTAGAGCTCGGAAAGAAATATAAGGTCAAATACGAGTAAGCAAGGGGAGGGAATTCAACTGGTTTAAGTGGTGGGTCTTAGTTAGGATAGTAAAATCAATAGGCTTATCCATGTTATCCATGAAAACACTTGACGGATCTTTTGCTGTTGATCTCAGATTTATCTGTCATTTGTGAGAAGCTCACTAAATTAGGCAGCTCTCATTTATTATTATTATTATGCTTGTTATTTATAGGGTATAATCAATATTATTATTATTAATAGGCTCTGTTTTTAACATTAATTATAATAGGAAATGTGACCCTGGAGCACAAAAGCAGTCTTAAGTCGCTGGGGTATATTTGTAGCTATAGCCAAAAATACATTGTTTGGGTCAAAATTATCGGTTTTTGTTTTATGCCAAAACTCATTAGGATATTAAGTAAAGATCATGTTCCATGAAGATATTTTGTAAATTTCCTACTGTAGATATATAAAAACTTCATTTTTGATTAGTAATATGCATTGCTAAGAACTTCATTTGGACAACTTTAAAGATGATTTTCTCAATATTTAGATTTTTTTGCACCCTCAGATTCCAGATTTTCAAATAGTTGTATCTCAGCCAGATATTGTGCTATCCTAACAAACCATACATACAAGCTTATTTATCCCAGCTTTCATATGATGTATAAATCTCAATTTCTAGAAATTCAAAATCAACAGCTGAATCATTTTACTTTTGCATATTGCTGGATTTTTTTAAATGTATGGTAATGTTAATATTTAGTGTTCAGGACAATTTTGTTCACTTTGGTACCATAAACAATTTTGGTGTCCAACACTTGATGTCCAGATTAAAATCTAATTCCTGGAGCAAAACCAGTTGAGAACCACTAATGTGGACTGTGTAGCTGGGTGTACTAATATACTGTATATAAATATGCAATACTACTAAGAATGTGTAAACCCTTTCCCTGCAGGTCCATGCTTCTGTTCCGCCCCCCCAGACTGAGCAGTAAGCTTGAGGAGAGTGTGGTTCACCACGCAGGACCCCTGTCCATCACAGGCCTGCGCCGCTTCATCAGAGACAACATGTGAGCAGACACCGTCACATCACAAACACCCACACGGCACATGCTGAGATCATGATTGCTTTTGCTCTGTAGTTTTGGACTCTGTCCTCACCTGACCAAAGAGAATAAGGATTCATGGAGGAAGAGGGATTTACTGACGGCCTACTATGACTTAGATTATTTTTGCAATCCCAAAGGCTCCAACTACTGGAGAAACAGGTGAGTCCTTTAAAATCAGTGAGCAAATATAAAGTCATAAAGTACTTACCTGTCTTTCTCCCTCCCAATTGCATTTAGAGTGTTGAAGGTGGCGTCTAAGTTCAGTTCTCAGGGCCTGTTGTATTCTGTGGCGAACCGTAATGACTTTCTGGAGGAGCTGGAGGATGAGTTCGGTCTGGGCGCCTCGGACGCAACCGAGCTGCCGTTTGTCACCATCAGGACACGAACAGGAAACAAATACACCATGAGAGAGGAGTTCACGTGAGTACAAACACGATACTATGAGGATCCTGTTTTCAGAATTTTAAGGAGGAGATTATACATGATTTGATATTCTAAATAATTATATTAGTTGACTAATTAGGACATGCCACTACAAGCCGCAAAAGCATATTTCATTTCCAGCGAGAATAGCATGGTATCATTTGATCCCTGATGTGTTATCAGTTTATTTTCTGAAAGCTGCTTTTGAAGACTATGTATTTCTTATGTATTCTTATAATTATTGCATTGAGTAAATTCAATTAAAATAATGAATTGCAATTAATCTGTTTTTTTCTCAAATGTTTTCTTTTAAAAATGCAGTGCATTGAATATGAATATGCTCACATACGTTAAACAAATTGGCAAAATCCCAAAACTTATTTCTTGACCTTTCAAGTGTTTGGGGTCGGTAAGATTTGTTTTTAATTAATACTTTTATTCAGCAAGGATACATTAAATTGATCAAAACTGACAGTAAAAACTTGTATAATACTGTAAATGCTGTTCTTTTGGGCTGTCTATTCATCAAAGAATCCTGAAAAAAGTGTATGATGGTTTCCACAAAAAGTATTAAGGAGCGCAACTGCTTTCAACAATATTAATAATCAAAAATGTGCCCCTGGACCACAAAACCAGTCAGAAGGGTCAATTTCTAGAAATTGTGATTTATACACCATCTGAAATTAATACTGTTTGAATATAATAATAATATTCTTCATTTAGCTGTGTCCCATGATGTACATCAACACATTAAATGCTTTAATCATGTCTGGTTTTAATTGTAAGTATGGTCCCTCCTCAGACGAGATGGCAAGTCTTTAGAGAATTTTCTGGAAGACTATTTTGCTGGGCGACTGAAGCGTTACGTCAAATCAGAGCCTGTGCCGGCCAAAAACAATGGAGCTGGCAAGGTTAGTGAGACACATGTGCTTGATTGTTTCATTTGGTCTTCATTAACAGTCTTGTATCAAGCGTTAACACAAGTCGCTGTCTGTGGTCAGGTGGTTGTGGCAGATACGTTTGAAGAGATCGTCAGTGACCCAGAGAAAGACGTGCTTATTGAGTTTTATGCTCCATGGTGTGGCCACTGTAAAAAACTGGAGCCCAAATATACAGAGCTTGGAGAACGGGTGAGCTTACATGACATCAGTATGTCTTATCTCTGTCTGAATCACTTCTCATCCTGTTTTTCTGATTTCTGTGCTCTCAGCTATACAGTGACCCCAATATTGTAATCACCAAGATGGATGCATTTGTGGAGTATTATCATATGGAGCCATTATCAATGTTTGCAATTGTCATTTCTTGCCCCTGGTTTGCCACTGAACAGATTTTGGGTTAAAAGATGCCTTTCCATTTGATCACTTAGGACATGGGTTGAACAATTGGTTATGTATTTATATAGAGTTTGGGAGTGAAATGGATGCAGTTTACACGATAAACATTGTCCTGTCAATTTAGTATTTTTTTTTCTACAGTACCCATGCCTTAAATTTAGTTTGACATCTAAATGAAGCTGTCTGTTCAGCAAGAGGTACTCACTGATGAGCAGAAAATGCTTGTTTATTAAACAAGAGGCAAGTATATGACATGCATTACTATTGAGATTTATTTTTTTATATATATTTTTCTATTTTCTAAAGTCTATATATATGTGTATATATACACAAACACCTCAGAGACATGTAGGACTCTCACACAACTTAGGAAAAGACATTTATTGTGAATTCTGAACCCTGGTTCCTCAACAGCTGTAAAGAAGGGGGAAAAAAACCTTCCGATGCTTTCAAACTGATTTATATATTCTATTCTTACACCTCTCTACCAGAAGAAATACTTTAAACAAGAGAAGAACAACCTGGGCCCATACCAAACATAAAAAAACATCCTGTCTGTGGTGAATCTAGTAAAATCTCTCTGAAGTAATCTTGACACCGGAGGAACTTAGCAGGTTGGTGTCGTTCCGACTGAAGATTAAAACAAAACACTGGTCTAATTAAGACGGAGACAGCTTCCTGATTGCGTTTGTGTCTTCCCATTTCTGGTCTTTCCTAATACATGCACTGAAAGCTTGCAGTCTGTCAACAAAGAAAAGTCACAGACGATCCCAGCTATATTACTCTGAGCTTAAAACAAATCCAAAATATACCGCCTTTTGCATGCAACAGACATTTTAAAGTAAGCCAAATATCTGGTTGTACAAAGGAGGGCACTGAATGACAATCGATCAACCATACGTCACGTCATGAACTAAGATGTCAATTCACGAACGTTACTTAAGCTTAGGGAACTAAAACAAACAGGACCAGAGAGTGAGCGGAGCCATCCTACAGGTATCTAGCTTTAATTGTAACTTTATTTTCTATGTGGAGGTTAAGAACTGAAATGATTTTCACAAGGAACACCCCGTTTTCTGTACAGTGTTTCAGAGGTAAGGTTTTTGTTTCTCCCCAGAGTGTTTTATAGTCTCGCTCTCTCCGTATTTAAACTTTAGTCTTGGTCGAATCTAAAATTGTTGGAGAAGAGTGAGGCCATGCCGACGGACACACAACCCACCCCATCCCACCCCACCCTGCTCAGGTTCTTAGCGGATCGCTTTGACGGGACTCTTGAAGCTGGAGGCTGCCTGCAGCTGCAGCTGGTAAGCCATTGGGTGAATCTTGAAACCATAAAGCCTGGAAGAGGAGAATGACAGTACTGACAAACTGAACCATTTTAGAGATGTGAGAAAATCCATTTATACAGAGGTGTATAGGGAGGACAAACCTGGGCACAAACTGGTTGGCGGGCCTCTTCGGCCGGTACTCGGGATGCACCATGAAGAGCATGTGGGGGAAGCCAGTGCCAAAATAGGCTCCATCGGTGTGATGGTGCCTGGATGACTTGGGTGTGTACACATCCATACACTTAGGGCAGTAGAGCTTCACCATGGCCTCACCAGGAATATCAGAGAGCCCTGGAGACAAAACAGACACTAGACTCACTCATGGAAACTTGTGCGATCACTCGGCTGCACACAGACCTGCTCAGCCAACATTATTTAGAGCCAGTTATCTCATTTAAGGTTAAGATGAAACAATGTGTAACCAATTAAGAAACTCGATGAGATATTAAAAGAGAGACGGGAAAAAAAAGTATGTCGACTATAGATTTTATCCATTGGGAAATGACTGGATTGTTAGTAGCAGGTGTTATTTAATAAACATGGTGTTTCTCACTTTATCCCTTTAATAAAAATGGGGATTACAGTTCACCCAAAAATTGTCATCGTTTACTCACCTTCATGTTGTTCCAGACCTGTATGAATTTCTTTCCTCTACCGAGTAAATAAACAGGTGCTGGTCCCCACTGACTTCCATAGTATGGGTAGGGAAAAAACACTATGGAAGTCAATGGGGACCAGCAACTGTTTGGTTACCCACATTCTTCAAAATCTCTACGTTTGTGTTCAGCAGAAGAAAAGCATACAAGTTTGGAAAGACCTGAGGGCAAGTAAATGATGACAGGATTTTCATTTTTGGGTGAATTATTCATTTAAGGTGTGCATCTTTTTTTACACAGTGCATGTTCTTAACCCGGTTATGCTTAAGCCGACAATGCACACGGTCATTTAAACACGTTTTCCTTTATTGGAGTAAGGTCATAAACCGATTGTAACAGCTAGATTTTTACAGATTTCAGCCAGCATGTAAACGCATTACCCTGCCTTCTGTCGGCTTACTGAAGTGCGCATGTGTGCTATGTGACAGGAACGCGTCCTTTACTGTGGATTTAATCACATCCAGACAGAACAAACGTTTTACAGTAAGGGAGGAGGAAATATACCACAAACTAATTATAAAAATGTGTTCTCATCTCGTGCAGGAGGAGGAGAAGTGGTACTATCCAAATACTGCATCTTGAGAGGGTAATATATGAGATGCAAGTTTCCCGCGGACATGTTGCAATACTCTTCTTCAGTTTTTAACGATTTATTTAACATGACAACCGACAAACTAAATACTCAGAGTTAGATATGCAAATTATTACGTTCTGACCTCACTAAAGCAAATAAACTGATTTATTAATAACGTCTTAACCGCAGTTTACTTGCACTGCCGGGTTATTAGTTTGCATGTAAACCAGGACAACAGGTTATTTCAATAAGCTGATTTTTGAAAGTCATCAGTGTATTGGTGTGTCAATGTCAACACGCGATCAGTTTATCAGATCATCAAATCTTAAGAAGTGATTATCAACCGATTGGGGGGGAATTCAATTACAGAATATTTGTCTTTTAATTACAAAAAGTAATACAATGCAGTTGTATTTTTAAACATTTTAACTAATCTAGGGCTGTAACTAATGATTATTTTGACAATTGAGTAATCTGATATTTTTTTAGTAACACAAACAGACCTAAGTGAAAACCAGGCTTTAGTATGACTATTTATATATAAACTAACGATGAGGCAATAATAATTGGCTCAAATAAAATATCAAAACCAAGTAACTACATGGTTCTATTGAACAACACTGATAAAATACATAATGCAATATGCCTATACATAATATGAACATAACCAAGTACATTATGTGTTATAACAAATACCTGCAGAGGGTGGCAACGGCCTGGTGACGTTTCACTTTACAGCATGATTAAACTGTTTAAATCTATTTAATTTTAATATTTGGCCACATGCAAACTCAAACTTTTATTTTGAAATCGTGATGTACAATAAATGGCATATTTAGAAATAGGTTGATGTATTCTCCTATATTGACAAAGGTTTAAATGATTTACGTTACAAATCTAGTGAGATAATGCGCACTGTTTTCCCAGATGAACGTTAAGCAATTCAAATTCACAGTAAATGCAGAGAAAGAGTCACACATACAGTCTTTACTGGTAAGTTACCATTAAGAGATAGAGATCATGTGTGAACAGGACCTTTTCAAAAATCCCGGTAAATTTGTTCTGGCAATCATACAGTTCTTATGGAGATGACGTGATTACTCTGAGCTGTTTACAAAGCTCCGCTGCATTTTAATTAGTTTTTCTATGTAAATAGGCCTATGCACTATATGGACATCTTTGACCAATGCGCTTCACAGTGTTTTTTTCGCGCTTCCTCCATTCATCAGTGCTGCGATGCTCATCTCGTGTTTATAAGAGCAAAATATTCTGATTGGCTGGTAATGTTAGTTTGGTTGAGAGTGAAAGCTGTGCTTCTCTCACACCATTGGTAGGCGAACTCATGGACTCGAAAGTGATTTTTTAAATGTAGGATTATTTTTTTCCGCAGCCAAACACTGCACGCCGGAGAACTTTAAGCCCTGCAATCAACCAGAGAATCTCACATTTTTGATGAAAGATTACAATGGCAAACATTATTTGTTTGAAGTCAAATAAATGGGACACCCACCAATAGGCAGCATTGGCTGATTCTCACAGTAAACACGAGGACAATAGCCAAAATCTCCCTGCTGGTACTTCTCCAGCTGCAACACAAAACAAGCACAACATCATACGCATGAAGCTGAAAAATAAATTGTCTTTCTTTAATGAAATTATAAGTCAATAACTAGATGACCCGGAGAAAACGCACCATCTGGGCAATGCCACGGTTAGTGAGGATATAGCGCGCATGGATCAGTCCATACAGCATCTCAGCAGCCTGCTCAATCAGGTCACTCTGGTTAGGGTTGTCCTCCAGCTCCTCATCTGACACACACACACACACACATACATACAATAACACCATTACACAGCTAGGAAATCACATTGTTTACAGTTAGCTTGAAACAGAAAATGCCATTGTCTTTTCTTCCCAATTTGATTTCACACTGACTTTAAAACAGGGAAATGCATGTCTTCTATAGTATGTTTTTAAGGTGTTGCACTTAAGAGCAAATGCATGCTCATAATTATGGCATGTGCGCATACAATAAGCAATAGTCTAGCGTTCAAGGCATTAAACAGATATTCATGAATTTGGTCTAAAATATCTTGCATAAAACTACATTTTTAATGTGCCTGGTTGGTTGCATGCACAGCCTAATGTACAGAACCGTCAAGTCGCAATGAAACAGAAGTAGCAACAGATCTGTAGGGTGGGACTTATGCACCAGTAGATGATTGGATTTTGAATAGGAATGCTCCGATCGATCAGCCAGAGACCCGTATCGGCCGATAATCACATTTCATGACTCGATCGGTACTCACTATTTGGCCGATCTCACGAACCGATCGCAATTTGATGACGTCAACGCCGGACCACGTACATGATGTGCGGGGACGTAAATGATTTTAAGCCACAGTCATGTCATCGCCGGTGTGGAAATGCTATGAAGTTTCGAGAAACAATGAAAAATTCGCTATTTGTCGTGCATGTTTTGCATGATGATGAATGGATGGTTAATTTTTAATTTGATTTCACACTGACTTTAAAACAGGGAAATGCATGTCTTCTATAGTATGTTTTTAAGGTGTTGCACTTAAGAGCAAATGCATGCTCATAATTATGGCATGTGCGCATACAATAAGCAATAGTCTAGCGTTCAAGGCATTAAACAGATATTCATGAATTTGGTCTAAAATATCTTGCATAAAACTACATTTTTAATGTGCCTGGTTGGTTGCATGCACAGCCTAATGTACAGAACCGTCAAGTCGCAATGAAACAGAAGTAGCAACAGATCTGTAGGGTGGGACTTATGCACCAGTAGATGATTGGATTTTGAATAGGAATGCTCCGATCGATCAGCCAGAGACCCGTATCGGCCGATAATCACATTTCATGACTCGATCGGTACTCACTATTTGGCCGATCTCACGAACCAATCGCAATTTGATGACGTCAACGCCGGACCACGTACATGATGTGCGGGGACGTAAATGATTTTAAGCCACAGTCATGTCATCGCCGGTGTGGAAATGCTATGAAGTTTCGAGAAACAATGAAAAATTCGCTATTTGTCGTGCATGTTTTGCATGATGATGAATGGATGGTTAATTTTTAACAGCAGATTCAGAGACGTTAGAGCTGATCTGCGCCTCACTGCACAAGTCTGCGGCGCGTTACCTCTCCATGGGAACCGGAGCTGATCGCAGCCGCTCTAGTCAGTGCTTGTGTTTATGCAGCCGCGGCATGTTTCTCTCTTTTGTGAGTTGGCACAGCATGGAGGACGGAACAAAACCTCGTCTGAGCCGTATCGCTGATCGTGGGCTGCTTTTACATGAACGTTTATTTATAAAACAAAATATCTTCTTTAGCCATATTAGCCTACTCAATAGCATTAACACAGGCTTTACTCCTTTCAAACTTTATCTGCAATGTCACCGTTTCTGTCACTGCAACTTCCAGATCAGGCGCGCGCGCACAAAATCGTCTGCCTCATGGAAAAAAAAATGTAGTTAATATTTGCATCGCTTATGATTTATTTTATCCACCCACAAATAATCAGAATGCATTTTAAAGCAGGAGAAACAGAGGTTTCCCCGGAAACAGCTGTACACAAAGCAGCGCGGAGCTCACAAACGCTGCTTTATCAGGCACATAACATGCAAGATGAAATGAAAATGACATTGAAAATTTTCTAAAGATAGTCTTCCTTCAGAAATACAGTGATATAAAAACACCCGCGCCTCGTTTTGATTTTTAAACGTGCAGTACGTGCTCATGTTTTTTCAACAAAGCCTTTTGGAAAATCGGTCAGTTTTGATATAGTGGCGAACGCCACAAGTAAATAAATGTATGGGAAACATCCCACAGCACAACCACCTGAGCACAACTTCAGTCTACTCATTAACTTCGGGCTGGGCAAGGTGCGTGCGCACGATGAAACCGTCTATATAAAGCTTGAAGCTTCAGAATCGGTATCGGCCGATCACCATGACAAGAAATCGGTACTCAGTATCGGCTGCACAAATCCTGATCGGAGCATCCCTAATTTTGAAATGTGGCTGTTTTACTCCATAGCGGAAGCAGATTGATGGGGTTTAAGTGCACTAAATGATTGGAGAAAGCCTGCATACGTCACCAGAGAGAAGACTGGCATTTTAAGTCTCTCTTTTTAACCATTACAAGGTCCAAACATGAAAAATAAATAATAATAAAACATGCAAAAATAAAAAAATATGAACTTTCATTTAATGCTGCATCAAACCCTTTAATGCTTGCGTTAAAAAACCAAAACCAATCACTGACCAGGTTCCAGATCCAGGATCATGTCCAGGGCTTGTCTGTAATGGGGAACTTGCTCATTGAGTCCTGTAAGATTGAACTTGTCCTGAATGTAGTCCTCATCTACCTGTATGGAGCAAAAAGAGATGTACCATATACCAACATTAATGCACACAACAACACATTTATCTACCGTTCTCTACAATGATTACAATACCACCGGTTGATCATGACTCCTGCACTGATTTTAGCGAATGATTCAGAGACAGTTTTCTATATAGAAAAGATTACTGCCTAGAAATCAGTGTGTCTTAAACGTTAATATAATATTCTCATGTTTCCCAGTTATAAATACAAGTGATCGTGGTAAAAGTATAGTGTGTTTTGTCCTATAAATCCTTTTACACACAGTCCTGCGAGTCCTGCTGTCATCTCAGGAGGGTGGTGCTCATGTCGGACACATACTGCAACCCTACAACTCATTTCTGATTGGTTAAGCTTGCACTGTAACACTCCCTGGCCAACCACAAAATACACGAGATGATCAGAAACGCATACAGACCTCACAGAAGAACTCGTTTCCCCGTAGACCACAAAACCAAGAAATCCACGACACTTCCTCGGAGCTACTCATGTTGGGAAACTAGAAAAGAGGAGAGGAGAGCAACATGAAGCGATCAAGTAAACTTACATAGACAAAAACCATTACTATTTCTGCTCCAAAACAGATGTCAAGTCAGTCTTTACTGGAAACAAAAATAATAAGAGTCATATTGCTGCGCAAATATGTTTCAGGTAAGTACATGTTTATAAAAAATTGTATCGCGTCTTACTGTTTTCGCGTAAACAGCTGACTAGCCTGCCGCACGCGAACACAGCCGGCTGCTTGCCTTATAACCCAGTCAATGAAACACAAATGGACAACTGCGCACATGCGAGGCGGGCAAAATCTAAAACCACTGGCACGTTAAAAAGACTCGTTTGTATCTTGATAGACGCCCATTTTGTAGTTCAGCTAACGAAAGATGAGTTTAGCATGCCGCCGCTGCTAGCTAACGCTTAAACGTAACGGTAGGCCGCAGCAAACTCGCCGAGTGTCTGAAATACGTCGACTGGAGAGAGTCCTAACACATACAATTAACAACGCGTTCCCAGAAATACCCCAAAACTGCGCACATATCGAAGCTACTAGATATTATTGTCCATCATAGCGATTAAAGCGTGTATTCGTGTTACCTCAAGGATCTCCCGATGTTAGCCGCAGCAACACAACTGTACGCTGATTGGAGGCTTCCGCTCTACACACAGCACGTGATCACAAGGTAGGTCACTTCCGCTCTCTGCGGAACTTGTAGGAATTGTAGTCTTTATAATCAGATGTGTTTCCCATTCGTAGCGTTTTCGCTATTATCTGGGTTTGAATAGTAGAACCAATTATTCATGTAATATTTTATTAATAAAATAATTATGTAATAAAATATTGGGGTCATCGAATAACACTGAAAAATTAACATTTAGAATTTATGTTAAGATATGAAAATATATATATATATATAAATTCTACAATGCATGGCTGTACTTTCCCTTCTGGAATGCGTATGTGGGTCAACCAGAAACCATGTATTTAGCAATGTTTATAGCTGTAATTGTGTTAACTTTCATTTTGGTGTAAATGTGTGTACCTAAAACAAATCAATGAAATGATGCTGGACATGGATTGTATGCATTAAAAATGTAAAAAGTCTAAAATTGTATTATTAGTTCGAATCCTCTTAATGACACTGTGATGGTGAAATGAAGTCAAACCACAGATCTTCCATTAAAACAAAAGATTTTTATTTAACTTTTTCTCTGTATACTTTTTATTATAATAAGACACTTCTCTGCTTGTACATTGCTCCCTTGAACTTAAAAATGGCAACAACTGTGTGGGAATGTAAGTTGGGGCGGACAAACTCAGATGCATACCAATATACATACATGTGTGTATATCAAGGTTTCAATAATAACCTCAGGTACCTTGGTATAGTTAGAAGTATAATACAATCTCTTAGTATTTCGAGGAATACACATTTCTATTCATTTTTACTCAATATTGGTACATATAATGTGACCACATCAATGGTTTAAGTTTAAGAGGGATGATAAACGGCACTGAAAGCCGATGGGAGAACAGCTTCCAACGAATAGACCACCCAAGCTGTATCGGAGGACAAAACCATGCTTGGTAAAACATCAAGAAAAGAAAAATAAACCCATTTTAGTTGTTTTCCTTAGTATGTAGGAAAAAATATATATATATCGATTTAACTTTTTCCACTGCACTTCATTTGGATTAACATATACACACACTTGAATGCATATAATGAAAATATCCTAGATCAAATAAAACATCCTAATAGTGTCAGAAAAGGTGGGCAATTGGGACTCATGTTCGCCTTTCACAAAGCGTCCTATCCTCAAAAGAGCACATTACATGTAGAGATCGGATAGAAATTCACACATACTTTTTAAATGCCCTACTCTCACACATACATGTCATTTGAAAGCCCTACTTATTACTTCAAAGCTATTCATTAGACCAAGGCATTCCCAGAAAACAAACAAACCCCAACTTACACCATTAGGATACAGATGCTGGTCAAAATGAGGAGGGAACAATGCTTTGATCCGTTTCTTTTTAGACGTCAAGCATTTGTGGTTTCTTGTTACGCTGGGCTCAGGCTCCCTGGATGGGCAGGTTTTATTTGACGCCAGGCATATTGCACATTGAACAAATGTCTCATTTTGTAACACTACTCAAAAAGGGCCACAGACTCCTTGGCATTGACTTGTGTCTAAATGAGATGACTGGTAAATTGTTCGAGGAAGTGAGTAAGACAGTTGCTCATAGTTCTGAGACATGTTCTGGGGGACTTTGGAACTACAAAAAAAAAAAAAAAAAGACTGAGCATTGGTGATACTTGGTGGGCACAGTAGTGAGTTTGAACCAAAAATGAAGAGGGTTTTATTTTAAAAATGCATTTTAATGACTTGCTTTGCAGAAGAAAAAAAAAAAAAAAAGTTATATCCTCACCTTTAAGAGGTTGAAAATGGAAAAATAACACCACAAGAAGGGGGAAAACAAATCTATGATACATTTGTTCTCATTAAAAGAGCAACTTCCAAAATCCAACATGTGATGTGAATACACAAGTACATAATATCAACCTTGGCCTCTCATATATACTTCAAGCCACAGTTCTTACACAAGTACACGTAACGTGCCCAGCATACACCAACTAAGCACATCTTTGTTAGGTTGATGTCATTTTGTGCTTGTATATGCAAACAAAAATGGGCCATGTGATCGAATGCATTTTTAGTCAGGAAATATTTCCATTAAAATGGGGTGTAATATGTAAAATCTCAGAGTAGAGTTTAGGATTTGTGGGAGTGTGAAAGGACACAGTGTGAATTTCCAAATAAGGGACAAAAAGCTATAAACCAAAAGAACAAGAATGTGTTCATGGTCTTGGTAACTAATCTTTTATGATAATAAAGTGTTAACATGTTAAGGGGAAAGATGTTTTACAGAAAAGAGTGGCCAATGATAGAGGGATGCATCTGAAAAATTTCCAAATTAAAAAAACCAAAACATCACTTCCTGTTCTTAGGAGAGGGCCAGTTGCCACGCCTCTCACCACGATTGCCCCCGCCATTGCCAGATCCACCCACCGCCCCACCAGTGCCGGGCGGACCCCTGGGGCCTCTTCCTCCACTTCCTCCACCTCCTCCTCCACCACCTCCACCACCACCACCACCACCACCACCACTGGCATTAACCCTTCTGTTCTGCCTCTCCATTCCAGGGCGCTGATTGGAGAAGCTTCTCTTGCTGCTGGCCAATTCTTTAGCTGTCATCTCTCTCTCGCCACCACCGCCGACTCCACCACCTCTTCCGGGTGGATGGTGGTGGTGGTGATGGTGATGGTGGTGGGAGGAATAGGGTTTACCACCTCCTCCACCCGCTCTTTCTCGAAACTCGGTGAAATCGCTGCTTTCGGAGGCTGTTTCCCATTCCTCATTGGCCTGATCAGAGTTCTGGTTAGAGACATCTGGAGATTTGGCACCCCCAGCTGGGTTATGGTTGTGATGGTGTTGAGCGTGTGACTGGGAGTTGCCCTGGTAGTGATGGTGGTGGTGGCTATTGAAATTTTGGTTTCCACCCCCAAGGTTGCTGCTATTCTTATTGTTGTTAGAAGTTGCAGACACACTGTGGTTTGCATTTGCAACAGCTGTGGTAGATGCATTGGGAGTGCTATTGGTTTCTTGCAGGGCATTCTGCAACGGTGAAGGCGGCCGCTGCTGTTGTCCAGCTACGACTTCAATAATTCCACTGCTTCCATTTATACGGGCCGCATTCTCTCTCTCTTGCTTAAGTCTGCGGAATCTGGGAGGCTTGTCCTGCTGATGCTGAGATCGTCCGTGGCGTCTGCGACGAGGGGGGCGCTCAAATCCGCTGTTAGGGAAACTTCGTCCGTCAGGGGCAGACAGAGGAAGAGTCTGGATAGGAATGCCAGAGGAATTTGACAAAACATTACTTGAGGACAGTGGGGCTCCAGCACTTCCATTCTCTGTGGAGCCCTGTTGGATAGCTGCAGGCACAGAAGGATTAGGTGCGGAGGGATTTGCACTTTGACTCTGAGACTGATTCTGGTCCGCAGCTTTCTTCTTGTCATTATTGGCTCCACGGCCTGTATCTTTAGGAGGGGATGGCTGTGAGGACGTCTGTTGCTTTCGCACGGTTGCAGATTTTGCAGACCAGCCATGAGAAGCAGAGCCAGGTCCAGATCGGTGTCCACCAGATACTCCTGCACTGCCTCCACTTCTGTGGAGACCTCCTCCAGCTCCTCCACCACCACCTCTGCCACGTCTAGATGGCACTCCCCTTGGTGTGAACACTCTTGTCTGGGAGTTTCTGATTGGAGCTGAAGAAGATGAAGAACCTGTTGTAGGATTCTCGCCTCTGATGCCAGTCTTGGTGTTTGGCTTGCGGTCTTCCTTGTCAGAGTGAGGAAGGTCACTACCAGCACTCTCGCTGCCTGTTTCAGATCCCCGTTGTCTCCTCCTCTTTGGCACCTCTTCATATTCAGAGCCTTCACTTCGAGTCTCACTTCGGTTCCTAGCACGTCCCGGATTTGGCTGAGAGCCCCCATGTCCATGTCTACCACTGCCAGATGATGCCTCCCGCTTGTATTCTTGATTAGAAGGTGCATGGTGGTAGCCACTGTTGGCAGCTAATCTATAATCCCTGCTGTTCCTGCCACCTCCTTTACCACGGCTGCTACCACCTGCACAGCTAGTGTAAGTGCCCCTGTAGCCTCGGCCTCGGCCATAGAATTCTCCTCGGCCACGGTTAGATCGGCTACCTCTGGATGAAGATGCATGGTAAGTTGTGCTTCCTCTTTCAACAGAATGCTCTCTTTCCCTCCTGGACTGTGGAGCTGAAGAGCCAGAGTTCTGGATAGAGCTTTCTCCATTTTTGGATCCTTTACCTGTACCCCCTGTGTTGCCTCGCTCCTTTCCAGCAGTTCTGAGTTTATTTGACGAGACTGCATCATTTTTTCCACCAAGTGCTGACGATGCTTGAGCCCCAGAGGCCGGTTCTTGTTTGGTTGCAGTCTGGCTAGCATCTTGTTCTTTATCTTTACCAGAGACTCCAGTAGTCTTTTCTCCTCCTCCTTCACCACCCTCTCTTTTCATCTCTTTAAGAACTGGTCTCTTAATAGGACCTGCACGCTTAACTGTGGTGCCATCTGAGTGAGTAAAGGATTTGTTCTCAGCCCCCTGATTTGCAGATTCTTCAGTATTTCCACTCATTCCAGAGCCCGGAGCCTTTCTGTTATGGGTTTGGCCCCCAGTTGCGCTACTGCTACCAGGCCTCGGGCCCCAGTGTGTTTCAGTTTTGTGCTCCCGACTGCGAGGGTTGGATTTAGGGTGGTGGTGCTGCTGCACAGAATGCTGTGGAGGCTGATTTTGCGTATTTCCCATCTTCTCCTGTTTCCATCCTGAAGCATGAGCAGATCCAATATCATGTTCAATCGGTGGTGGGACCTGATTATGTAGTGACTGTTTTCCACTACCATCTTCTCTAGCTGAGGAAGATGATGATGATGAACAGGAAGGGGAAAGGGACAGCTGATGGAGTGGAGG